ACAACAAGTTCTTTAATTTTTGTTTGTTTAAGAAAGTGTTTATTTTTTTCTTCACTTTAGAAGTATTATTTTTCAGGGTACATAATTTTAGGTTGGTGGGTTTTTTTTCCCTCTTAATACTTTAAATATTCACTCCATTCTCTTCTTGTTTGCATTGTTTCTGAGAAGTAAGGAATAATTCTTGTCTTTGCTCCTCTATAGATAAGGTTTCCCCCATTTCTGGCTTTTCTGTATTTGGAAAATAATATGCCCAGGTATAATTATCTTTCTTTTTATACTGCTTGGTGTTCTCTGATCTTTGTGAATCTATGACTCAGGAAATTCTGTTGTGTCAGATGTCTCTTCTGTCCCTTTCTCTTTGTTCTCCTTTTGAATTCTTAGTGTACTATTTATACATTTTGTGGTTGTCCAACAGTCCTTGGATATTCTGGCTTTTCCATTCTTTCTTCTCCCTGCTTTTCAGGTTTGGAGGTTTCTTTTGATATGTTCTCAAACTCAGAGGTTCTTTCCTGGACCATTTCTAGCAATAAGCCCACCAAAGCATTCTTTAATATTATTATTCTTTATTTGCTATCTAGCATTTTAAAAGTATTATTTATCTAGCTTTCCATCTTGCTCCTTACATTGGCCACCTCTTGTTGAATGTTTTCCACTTTATCTGTTTGAACTCTTAGTATATTAATCATAATTGCTTTAAATCCCTTTTCTGATAATTATAACATTTTTACCATACCTAATGTTCATACTTTTGTTTGCTCAAAATGTGTTTTAGTGTGCATTGTCATTTTTTCTTGCTAGTCAGACTTGATGTACTGAATTTACTATTAATGGGCCTTTAGTAATGTGACAGTGACAAGTGGAGTAGGGGAGGTGAGCGTTCTATAATCCTATGAGTAAGCTTCAATGTTTTAGTGATCCTGTGCCTCTGGACTGTGAACTTTCCAATTGCTTTTCTTTTCTTCCCCACCCCAAGACCAGAAGTTGTCACACTCCTAGGAACAGAAAAGCTACTTTGGGGCAGGTCTTCCATGCATTAGAGGTCCTTCCTCTCTCTCCCTTAAAATACGCCAAGCACACACTGAGCCTGTGTGATTGAGTGGAGCTGAGAGAGGTGCTTTTCTTTTTAAAAATAATTATGTTATTTTCACATATATACTCAATGTACTTCAACCATATTCATGTCCCATTACTCTCTTTTGTTCCCCTCCAAAAGTGTCCACTTTTTATGTTCATGTGTTTTTTTGTTGTTGTTTGCTTTTATATTTAGATTTCATATATGAGAGAAAACGTGATATTTATCTTTCTGAGTTTGACTTATTTTGCTTAACATGATCTCCAGTTCCATCCATTCTCCTGTGTATATATACTATAATTTCTTTATCTATGCATCAGTTGATGGGCTTCTAAATTATTGGCATTTGTGAATGGTATTGAATGAACATAAGTGTGCAAGTGTCTTCATTATATGTTGACTTTGGTTCCTTGGGTTATATGCCCAGGAGAGGTATGGTTATATAACATGGTAGTTCAATTTTTTACTTTTTGAGGAACTTCCATATAGATTTTCATAGTGACTAAAGTAATTTACACTCCCCCCAAGGTATATGAGGGTTCCTTTCCCCCAATATCCTCACCAGCATTTGTTATTATTTGTTTCCTTGATGATTCTGATTAGGGTCAGATGGAATCTCAATATAGTTTTGAGTTACATTTCCTTTATGACTAAGATTGTTTAATATTTCTTCATGTGTTTAAAAGGTAAGGACTTTAGGAGTTATCTGCCCTCATGAATGGGATTAGTGCCCTTTTATAAGAGACCTAAGGATGCTTCTCTGCTCCTTCTGCCACACGAGGAGGCAAAGAATGAACATGAGTCACCAAATCTCCTGACACCTTGATCTTGTACTCCCAGAACTGTGAATGATAAATTTCTATTGTGTATAGATCATCCAGTGTAAGGTATTTTGTTAAAACAGTCCAAACAGACTGAAACCCCACATGACCTAAGTTTTTTGGGGAAAAGCCTGAATTTTCAGGTGTCTTTCTTCTTTACAACATCCTATGGCACTGTCTGTGGATGGGAAATGTAACTGCTACATAATTACTCCATGAATTATTGAGAACTGACTGATATGAGATAATAGGAGGAATGCCCTCTGGATTAGGAAATATATTTAATATTGGAAGTCTGATATCCAGGTAAAATTAAATCATGAGGTTGTCATTTTCAGTGCCTACATCAACCCCAGAATTAGATCTAACTGCTTAAATCAACGTGCAAGAAAAGCACACCATATGAGGATAAATTCCATCAGCACATAACTGACATGAGTAGAGGAACATTACGGGCAAACAAAACAAATGGTGGATGGAATCACAAAGAGGGGTCATTTATTGACACTGTCTTCAAAATAACCCACTTGGTGCTTATGAGAGTTACTCACCTTGGAAAAATAACAGCTTTCCTACTCATCACTATTCACTTTAGGTCTTCTTTCTTAACACTCATGCCTACTTATCTCTTGTACATTTCACTTGCTGTACCATTTGCAGCTGTAGTACCTAGTTCTGTGAGCCATCTTTCTGACCCCAGGCTTACTTGCCTCTCACAGTCACTACAGAAGAACCACAGGCTTGTCCACTAACGCAGGTATTTCCTTCTGACCCAAGTGCATGCTCTTGATAGCTGCTCTCTGGCATCTTTTAGCCATCTGTGTGTACTGCCCCTTTGGCTTCTGTTTCCAGTTTGTCTGTCTGGTTCCCTGGTCTAGTTGCAGTACCTCTGTGTCCAATCTGACATTTCCTCTAACAGCCACCCAGCTATTGACTAGGCTAAAAGGTTTATTTATTTCTTTCTGTTTGAATACTACTTTTAAATGTATTTTCTTTGGAGCAGTCTAATCATAGCTCATCTGAAGGCAATTTAAATTTTATTTATTTAAATAATTCATTAGTCAACAAACACTTATTGGAGACTTTATATGATCAAGTATTACTCCAAGCCCTGGAGATGTGACGTTTTCCACTCCTTCTCTCTTTTCCTCCCTCTCTCTCTGTCCCTTCCTTCTTTCCATAAACATATAGTCAGAATTTGGATAAGTACATGGAGACACAAAAATGAGTAAAATGTAGTCCTAGTCCTCAGAAAGCTTGAAATCTATTAGCAAATCAGAAAAGTAAAGGGTTAATTTAATTAGAAGCAGATGTAATAGGTGCACAGTGCTCATCACAGGGTCCTAGGAGATTACGGAGTTATGTGTATGTGTATATTCTTTGTCTGTGTGAGGTGGGAGTAGCCTGGGAGGTTCAGAAAGGCTTCCATAGGAGGCAAACTGGAGCTGAGGTCCCAAGAAGTAGGATGTGTCTGGGAGTTGAGGTGTTTGGCAAAAACTTTCTGTGTGAGTCGAAAACTACAAGTGAAATGTGGTGTGCTTTGGGCAGCAAGAGATGAATCTAGAAAAACCCTCAGGAACAGCTCATGAAGAATCTTATGTATGGGGCTAGGAGTCCAGTGAAAGGTATGCAGATTTTGAAGAATGTTATATAACTGAGTGCCATAATTAGGTTTGCATTCAAAAGGTACTTGTCTAGCTATTGATTAGTGGATTATGGAACTGAAGAGCAAGGAGCAAGGCAAGCCTATAGTTCTGGAGTCCAGTTAAAAGGCAATGGCAATAATTGAGATATTAGCCAAAATACAAGGTCCTCCCTCCAAACACTCACATCCAGATCCCATGAAAAATCATTATAAAGGATGAGGTGAATATTATAGAGTCAAGTACATAGTACTAGGGACACTGATTATCTCCCCAGTCTGTGCGATTTTAAATTATTTCTGTCTTTAAAGTTCTGTAGCTCAAGCCTACCCTGGTATGGAGGGTGATGCTGTTCTGAGCCTCTCTACTCTAAGGCTAATCACACATTAAGAGGAACCACATAAGAATGTTCCTGGAAGTCTTGTTCATGAGAGGAGCAACCAGAAGACAGCTCAAAATCCCATCAGTGTGAGGGTGATCAATAGACCACCTACAGGGACACAATGCAGTATTCTATATCGTCAGAATGAATGGTCTACAGTCATGCCACAGCCGTATGAATGGATCTCAGACATAAATTTAACAGAAGAGTTTGAAAGATACATAAAATGTGATGCCCTCTTCATAAAGTAAAAAGATGTCTTTTTATGGGATGTCCAGAGTATGCACTGTGTAATTTGTATTTTTATATGTAATAAAATTATAGAAGAAGGGTAGCAAAAAGGAAGATGAGCATGGGGTCTAGGATGGTGCTCACTAGGAAGGGAGTGAAAACATAAGAATGAAAGAGACAGATCATATGATTAGACTGAGTGATCATAAAGGTCCTAGACCGTGTTTTCGGTGGAGTGTCTGGGTGCTTTTATTCAAAGTAATTAAGTGAATAACTACATCACTAATTTAAGAAAGTCATGTATGGATTATTGGTGAAAAAGTGCCCTGAGCAGGAACATGGTTTATCCAATCCAGTGCCCTGAGTTCAAAAAGAAGAAAGGTACAAAGAAAGAAGACAAGCAGACGGATAGTGATGATGACAAGAGGCTGGGGAGGAGGTAGAGAGGGCCAACACACCAGTCAGTAGGAGGAGGAGGAGAGAAGACTCTGAAGGAATGAGGCCTGGGAGTCTGGGGAAGAAGAAGAGGGGGAGATAGGGACAATTGCCTATGTCAGGCAATAGCATAGGGTCATTTGTTGTTTGATGGTGATTGTGAAATTCCCTCGGAAAGGCTCTTAGAGAGAAAGTGAGTCAGCTTTCCACATTGCAATTCAAGGGGAGCCTTTACTTAGAGTGAGAAATCATCTGAACCAGGTTTCACTTTTCCACTAGTAATGAGAACTGAACTAACAGTGCAAGCTCTTGTCCAGGGAGTACATCAAGCTGAAAGCAAAGCCTCCATCTCCCAGTTCTTGGTGTCTCCCTTGTCCCAGTGATCAAATCACATTTATATGCCACGTCATACTCACAGTTTTATGATGTCTGAGCCAAACATGTGAACCACTAAATCGCAGGTGGTTTCAAAACAGTTTTCTAAGAAAAACAAAGAGGGACAAACTGAATACATCTTTATTATGATGAATTTAAAACATGAGTTAATAATTATCTTAAAGAGGGATTAAGGTTGAGGGATTAATGATTAATTTGAGTATTTAATTTAAGGTTGGGTAATTCTGGTTACTACATCTATTAAAATATTTCCATCCTGAAGTGCATTCCACTTTACAGTGCATACTAAAGATTGCCAGTTCATTATAAAAACAGAGTTACATTTTGGGTTTTCACTTTCTATTTTTTACAGTAGGGAATATCTGAATGTTGAATAGGGTCTCATTTGTTGGAATTGAAAGAAACACAACTTGTGTTGAAGCAAATAATCTGAAATGCAGATCTGTTAGAAATACTCTCTCTGGGGTTCACTTGAAGGAGGAGACTTTACTTTGATGGGTGCGTTTTTATGGTTATTACCTGCAGATGGAAGAAGAGCTATTTTGACAGGTGTCCCTGAATAGCCCATGAGTGCTAGGGTTATAGGAGTGTGCCATTATGCACTGTGGTGGACTGATGAATTCTACTAGACATTTAAAGAATCAATATCATCCCATTCTTCCAAAACATGGACTAGGAAAGACCATTTCTTAACTTATTCTATGGTGCTAACATTACCCTGAAAAACCCCAAATACATCTGTCTAAAAGAAAGCTACCAGACCAAAGATCCTCAGCAAAATACTAGCAAATCAAATGTTGCACTGTAGAAAAACTTGTACACTGTGATCAAGTGGGATTTATCCCAAGAATGCAAGATTTAACATTTGGAAATCAACTAACATATTATACCACATCAGTAGCATAAAGGAATATGACCATCTATCTTGACACAGAAGGTATCTGGCAAAACAGTATACCCCTTCATAATAAGAGGAACCAAACCCAAACCCAAACCCAAACCAAACCCAAAACCCTTTAGAAATAAAAGGGAATTTCTTCAACCTGATAAAAGATTATCTATAAAAATTCCCAGGTAACATGATATTTGACAGTACAACACGGAGTGTTCCCCCAAAGATAAGGAAAAGACAACCATGTCTGCTGTCACCACTTCTACTCAACATTATACTGGAAGTTCTAGCCAGGATAATTAGGCAACAATAAGAAGTAAAAGGAATGCAGATTGGAAAGAAAGAAAGCAAGTCATTGTGCAGATAAGATCATCTATAGAAAACCCCAAGGAGTCCAGTAAGAAATTAGAAGAACTAATAAACAAATTTAGCGTAGTTGTATGACACAAATTCAATGATGCAAAATCAGTTGTATTTCTAGAAAGCAGAAATGGGTAAATGAAAATGAAATTAGAAAACAACCCATTTATAATAGCATCAGAAAGAATTAAATACTTAGAAATAAATTTTCCTTTAAAGTGTAAAACTATACTTGGAAATCTCATGCCTGTAATCCTAGCTATCAGGAAGCAGAGAACAAGAGGACAGTGGTTCAAAGCCAGCCAGGGCAAATAGTTTGCAAGACCGTATCTTGAAAATTCCCATCATAAAAAGGGCTGTGGAGTGGCTCAAGGTGAAGGCTCTGAGTTCAAGCCCCAGTTCACAAAAAAAAAAAAAGACCTAAATAACGGAAAGACATCCATGTTTGTGGATTGACAGATTTAATGTTGTTAAAATGGCAATATTTCCCAAATTGATCCATAGATTCAATGTAATCTCCAGCAAAATCCTGACTTGCAGAAACTCATCAGCTCATTCTAACGTTCACAGGGAAATCCAAGGAACCTAGAGCAGCTGAAACAATCTTCAAAAAGAAAAATGAAGCTATAGCACTCATACTTCCAATTTCAAAATTACAATGCTACAGTACCCAAGACAGTGTGGTATCAGTACAAGTGTAGACATACAGATCAATGAAACAGAATCAAGAGTCTAGAAATAAACCATTAAATTTACGGTCAATTGATTTTTGACAAGGGACAATTTAACAAATGGTACTGGCACAACTGAATAGCTACAAGCCAAAGAATAAATTTGAACAACTCACCTCATACCATTATGCAAAATTTAACTCAAAATGGATCAGGCTAGACATGTAACAGTCTTAACATAGGGCACATATAATATAATCATGTTAGAGCTGAAACCATGAAACTTTTAAAGAAAAATATTGTATAAATATTTGAGTGTTTGGGTCAGGCAATGGTTCTTAAATATGACGCCAAAAACAGAAGAAAACAGACAAATCTTTTTGGCGGTATGACTCAAGCAATAAACGTGCCTGCTTAGCAAGCATGAAACACTGAGTTCAAACCTCAGTACTATCAAAAAAAGAGACAAAATTTAAATTCCTCAAAATTAAAAACACTTTTACCTTTTTTCAAAGGACTCTATCTAGAAAATAAAAAGGCAAACCATAGAATGAGAGAAAACTGTTGTAAATCACATTAGATGTTTTAGTACAGGGTACCAGAATATATAAAGGATGATCGCAACTGTTAATAAAACTTGTGGGTGTCACTGATACAGATTAGGCCCTGTACTAATCCATATATGGAGTGAATGACAGCAGTGGTAGTGAGTTCAAGTTAAATGCAGGAGGCTCCATAAGCAATTGAGCTGGAACCAATTAAGTTTGTTTCTATAGCACACTCAGTTTTCTATAAATGCCTCAGATCATGTCAGTGGTTGGGTTTTTTCTGAAACTATTTTGTTTTCTGGAGGCCGATCCGGGTGAGTTTTCACCAAGGATTCTGAGCTGCATGGATTGTTTTTTGAGTTGAGTTTGTTAGAGCAAATTTTTGATCCAGACTGGGTTGGAAATTGATTCCAGAAACTATGAATAAAAGCTCTTAATTGTTTAGGCAGTACTAGGGCTCAGGTCTGAAATCTGATTATAAGGAGCAGCCAAGCTAACAAGAGTTTAGGAAATAATTAGAAAGGCCAGTCAAGAAAAGTGTCAGAATGCTTTGACTCAATCCTCTTGCTGAAATGAAATAATGATTGGGGAGGCTAAAAATTCCTCCTCAACAGTTCACACCTATACATCTTAACAAGGGATTAATAACCAGAAATATATAAGGAGCTCCAAAATCTAGCCCCTCCCCAAAAAATCAATGACCCAATGAAGAAATGGGAAAATGAACTGAACAGTTTTTTCAAAGGAAGAAGTCAAATAGCCAAAAATATATGAAGAAATGTTCACCATCCCTGGTCCATAAAGGAAATGTAAATCAAAAACATGTTTAAGATTCCATCTCATTCCTGTTAGAAATGGCTGTCATCAAGAAACAAACAACAAGAAATGTTGGCAAAGGATGTGGGGAAAAAGGAACCCTCATCCACTGTTGGTAGGAATTGTAAATTAGTTACAACCACTATGAAAACAGTATGGGGCACCTCAAAAAGAACTAATAGAACTTGCCCATATGATCCAGCAATATCACATCTAGGGAATACCCAAAGTATGTGAGTCTGTTACAATAAAGGCACCTGGCAACACCATGTTTATTGCGGCACTATTCCACAATAGCCAAGCTATGGAAACAGCCTAGATGCCTCACTACTGATGACTGGATTAAGAAAATATGTGGTATCTATACACAATGGAATTTTATTCAGCCATAAAGAAGAATTAAATTTGTCATTTGCAGGTAAATGGATGGAACATCGTTTTATGTGAAATTATCCAGTTTCAGAAAACCAAGGCTGCATGTTTTCTCTCATATGTGGAGTACAGGCCCAATAATAAACCATAAGCAATAATATATACACATACAAATATATACAGAACATGGCACCCGAAAGTGGGACTATAGAGGAGACAAAGGAAGAAGGAAAAGAAGGAAAGAAATATAGCAAATTCATATTAAAATACATCACATCTGTGTAGGAACAAGACACAACGAAACATTCTGAAAACTGTTAAACAACACAGGATAAGGGAAAAGGACAGGAAGTACAGTGTGGGGGGAGTTACATCAACCTAAGCACAATGCAATGTACAGGTCTAATAACAAGGCAAAAATGCCACTGAACAACAAAACGGACACTTAAACAATGAAGGACAAGAATGAAAAACAGGTCATGCTAAGGGGGAGGGTATGAACCGGGAGAGGTGGGTAAAAGAAAGAAGTAAAGAAGGTAAATATGGTTGATGTACTTTCTATATAAGAATGAATATAGACTATTTAAAACCTGTTGAACTCACCATAAGAAGGGGGACTAGGTAAAAAGGAAAAAAATAGAAGAGGATGAACCAATTCAAGATACAATAACATAGATATATAATATAAGATATGAAAATATCATAATGAAATTCCTTGTGTAGCTATCTTAAACAAACAGAAATATATTTTTTTCAAAAATTAAGGTAAAAATGGGAGAGACAGGAGAGATCTAGGGAAAGGGTAAAAGAAAGGTGAATATGGTGGAAAATAGTATGTCCTCATGTATGAAAATAGAACAATGACCTATTCTAAGAAAGGGGAGGGAAGATAAAGAAGAATGACGGAGGGAAGTGAATTTGACTAAGATATATTGTGAATATGGTGGAAATAGTATGTCCTCATGTATGAAAATAGAACAATGAGACCTATTCTAAGAAAGGGGGAGGGAAGATAAAGAAGAATGACGGAGGGAGTGAATTTGACTAAGATATATTGTAAGCACTTTTGTATATGTCACAATGTATCCTCAGTACAACAATGATACGATAATAAAAATTTTAGAAAATCCCCCGCAGAATAAGTGATTTGGGGGGTGAGGATGGATGAATCCTTAGAAGATGGTTGATAACGAGGTCTATCCCAGTGTGATAAAAGTCTCCTATCCTTCACATCTCCAATTCCTTGAAAAGAATAAATTTTCAGGGATTTGGTAACACTTGAGTTCCCTTGGAGGATTTGTGTTTGGGCAGATAAAAGGAATTCAGGAAGCTTCACCCTGATTACCTATTGGTAATTAATACACTAAAGTAACATATTTTGGGGTGCCATTTCCTGAACTCCTTTAGTGACTAGCTTTGTTTAAT